AAATTGGGTCTTTATATTTGGGGGGTCTGATTTTTTTCAGTTCTTTATATATTCAAGATAGTAGTCCTTTGTCTGAGGTACAGCTGCTAAAAAATTTTTCCCACATTGTAGGTTGTCTCTTAGCTCTGTTGGTGGTTTCTCTTGCAGTCCAGGAGCTTTTTAATAAGATGAGATCTCAGTTGTTGATTCTTTGTGCTAGTTCCCCTGCTACTGAGGTTTTGTTCATAAAGTCTTTTCCTATGCCAATGTCTTCAAGAGTTCAACCTAACTTATTTTCCATCAAGTTTTGTGTTTTTGTCTTAATACTTAGATCTTTAATCCACTTCGATCTTAATTTAGTACATGGTGATAGGTATGGGTCTAGTTTTAATCTTTGGCAGGTTGAAATCCAGTTTTTCCCAACACCATTTATTAAATAGGCTATCTTTTCTCCAGTTGGGGTGGTTGGCTCCTTTGTCAAAGATGAGGTAGCTGAGTATGTCCGGAGTTGTTTCTGCATCTTCTAACCTATTCCACTGATCCTTGGGTCTGTTTCTTTGCCAGTACCATGCTGTTTTTTTATCTCAGTAACTTTGTAGTATAGTTTCAAGTTGGGGATTGTGATACCTCCAGCCATATCTCTGTTGCTTAGAATTGCTTTTGCTATTCTAGGTCTCTTCTTGTTCCAAACGAATTTTTGGATTGTTTTCTCTAGTTCTGTGAAGTATATTGTTGGAATTTCCATTGGCATTGGATTAAATCTATATAGTAGTTTTGGAAGTATGGCCATTTTCACTATATTGATTCTTCCTACCCAGGAACAAGGGATGTCTTTCCATTTTCCCATATCCTCCTCGATCTCCTTTTTCAGAGTGCTGTAGTTTCCAGTGTAGAGGTCTTTTGCTTCCTATGTTAGATTGATTCCTAGATATTACCTTTTTTGGGGGGTGCTATTGTAAAAGGAATTGTTTCCCTAATTTCTCTCTCAGTGAGTCTGTTATTTGTGTATAAGAAGACTACTGTTTTTTGAGTGTTGACTTTATATCCAGCTACTCTACTAAATCTGCCAATTAAGTCTAGAAGTATTCTTAACATACAAACACAAGAAACCATCACTTAGCTCGCTAAAGAAAGTTTAATAGTTCGATCCCCGGTACCAAAAAAAAAAAAGAAAGAAAGAAAGAAAGTTTCATAATGCTAACTGGTGACATGGAACGTGTGAAGGAATTTTGTGCCATGTTATATAGTTTGAATTTTATTCCAAGAGCATCAGGGAGATGTCAAACAGTTTACAGGAAAATAGTGGTGTTAAGAATGATGAGGGCAGGATTGGTGGTGCCATTCACTGAAATAGGAAGAAGAGGAGGAATGAGTGTGTGAAAAAGTTACTTCATGTTTCTTTTAGAACATGTTAGAGTTAAGATATGTAAATCCATATACAGTAAATATTTAGTTGAATTTGTCTACATCTGAAAAGAAACAGAAAATAAAGTCTTAGAAGTCATTACAACAAAGATGAATTCTCATTCCTTAAGAGCAAATAAGAACACTCAAAAGGAGGGAGGAAATCACGAGAACAGAATATAAAGGCTAACTCATTGCAGAAATGAATAAAAAGTAATGTTTATTAATGATGACAATTTTTCCAAGGGAATTACCAGCTTGCAACATATATAAATAAATGCCAAAAATTTTAAATTCACATTAAAATTTACTTGACTATGTATTGCATTTTAATTATTTAATTTTTCAATAAATTTAATCGTGGAAAATTAAGTGAATTGAAATAGAAGATTAATAGCTTTGATATTTATAAATTTTTACTGTAGAAGTATGTGACTGTAATCTTTGAAGTATTTCATTTTATATAAAATTCATTTATGAAAATTATTTCAGATTTAATACATATTTTACTATAAATATTCTTGATCAAACCACCAATATATTTTCTGATCAAAAAGTAAAACAAAAAAATCAACAAGATAAAATAAAAACCTTAGAATGTTAGTTTTCATAAAATGAAAAAAATAATCTTTAAAAGTGATTTGAAAGTCTAAAGAGTGGTGCTTTTAAGAGAAACCAGAAGAAGTGTATTATGAATTAAGTGTCGCTTTTACTTACTTTGAGATGTTTGGAATTTGAATGCACAAAAAGGAAAAACATACAATTTAATTTTCAAAATTGTTTTGTATTTTATTACTTATAAGGTATTTGGAATTTAAATGCAGAAGAAGGAAAAAATATTCAACTTCATTTTCAAGAATTTGACTTAGAAAATATTCAAGATGTAGTTGAAATCAGAGATGGAGGAGATGAGTCCTTATTCTTAGGTAAGTCTGTAAGGACAATACTATGATGGTTGTATAGCTTGAGACTTTGGACTGATGGACAGAACATTTCTTAACAGACATAATCACTTTTACAACAGACAAAATGAAAATACAATAGGATAACATACTTATTTTTATGGAGAACTTTCAGTATGGGCACAGTTGCATTGGTTACATGATAATAGTCATCTTCAGCATTCTCAACAAACCAGGTTTGATATTGTTGAGTCATTAGTTTCAGCAAGTGTCCTTATAACTTGCAGACCAAAACCTAAGGGCATCTGCAACAGTAAAATCTGGCCTAATGTTCTTGCAATCAGCACACAACTACATGAACACTGAAAGGAATGGATGAAGATCCCCTGGAAACTTTCTCTTGAGCATGAAGGAACACAGTGATGGAGAAGATTCCCTGGTCATGTAACCCATTCACCCTTATGCAGAATTCTCCAACAAAACCCTGAAGAGACCTAGGGTGTAATCTACCTTGAAGAGGATTTTAACAGCCACATACAGGATAAATACAGTAATGAAAGTCTTGATAGTGGTAGGATACTAGAAAGAACTGAGAAACTTCAAATTTGGTTTTCATGTATATATCTACAAATAAATTTTGAGTAGTTTTTCCATTTTCAATTCAAATCATCTTTTTAATATATATTCCAGTGTTCTCATGACCAAGAAAAATAAAAAATTGTCATTTCACCTCTTAATATTTACATAAATCACTTGAAAGAAAGTAACAACTACGGAAGTGTCACAGTTACAGTTCTCAAATTCATAGATAAAACTTCTTTTGAAACTGAATTGTTTTAGGGTTTCCAACACATAAACCATTAAAAAGATGAATGCATTTTAATGAGATGAAGTATTGTTAAGGAAAGCATGTTTATGAAATCCCCAAAGTCTAGGGATTAGTGGGAAATAGTTTGAAAACCACAATTAGGTTTATATTATCTGCTTCTAATTCATTCTTCAGATTTGGATTTATGATTCCATTTACAAACACTACAAAATTAATTTGGACAAAAATTTGCTAAAGGAGAATATAACCTTCATTGTTTTATAAAGGTCTTTCAAAAGAGGCAAATATCTGCTAAACCAGATAATATTATGAGGAATTTATAATTAAAGTATAGTGCTGCAGAACTTCAAGTAATATTTAAAAAATTAGTACAAAAGTTAGCTTCATAGAAGCAGTGTTGAAAGATATAAAACTATCAACACATTTGTGACATGCAGCTCCTTCATGAGTGAGACATATTGCATGTAGTAGTACATCTAAAAAATGGATGGGAAATAAAGGGTGTATATCCTTCTGGTTTCAAAGAAATCACTGATTATCTCATTTTACTCTGAAACAGCTGTATACACAGGGCCTGGTCCAATGAAAGATGTGTTCTCTACTACCAACAGAATGACTGTATTTTTTATCACTGACTACTCGCTGGCAGGAAGGGGATTTAAAGCAAACTTTACTAGTGGTTACTACTTGGGAATTCCAGGTAAGAAAAATTATGTATCTCATCATAACTTTTGGAGCAAAATAAGAAAATATAAAAATATACAGATTTTAAGGCCTACATCATAATTTTGATGTTTGCATTCTATGTATTTATTCTTTTTCATCTTAAAGATGTTCTTTGCTACTTTCCATCTCTATGATCATTACCTGTGTTTGTTTAATGTAAGAATCCACAACATTTTCCTCCAAATCTACTTGTGTTTCTCTGCTGTGTAAAGAGCCTTAACTATTGCTCACTAAAGCTGGTCAAGTTACAAGTTACAAGTGGAGTAACTGGCCCTGTATGGAAGGACTGTATCATGCTCCCTTTGGCAAGACTTATTCTTATACGGTGTATTATCAAGTCCTAAACCTTGCTGGACAATTAAATTTTGTGTGCATGTATTCCTCCACTCACAATGGCATAGATCTTTTTCCCTACCCCAGAAAAGTGTTTTGCTCACTAAGAAAGTTGACATCTGGACGACTTCTGGCCCTGAATATCAGTTGCAATATTGGTTGTCACAACTATTTAGGTAGGGATGAGGTGCATCCCAATCAAATAATCTTCTTATCTGGATTTTTGTGATCACCTTTTTTGACTAAGCAGTTTCTTTTGACTTCCAAACAATGACATAGATGAAATAAAATAATCAATTAGTGGAATAAATAAAAATATTGAGACCTATGAAAAAGCATGCAATATAAAAGAAAAGGAATAAAGACTGAGGGCCAGGGATTTAGTTCAGTGGTTCTGCTGCCTGCTTCATAAGCGCAAGGTCCTCAGTTCGATTCCCAGTACCAAAAAAAAATGACTGAGACATATAAGAGTTTGTAATTTATCTTGAAATAGAGGCTATGAAAATGACATGGTTCTGGTAATTAGTAAAGAAGAAAATACATTCACATGAAAACATCATTAAATAAGTGTTTATTTAGATATTAACTCAGCAGAAAGTTAAATCATTGCTTTGAAAATATTGATCAAGATAATTGTAAGAATGACATTTTGAATTTAGCCAGTAATCCTGTACCTTTATTATTTTGTTACTGCTTATAATTATAGTATGATAACTTTGTTTATTTGTCAATATTTTCTGTAGTTTCAATTTGTTTTTCTCTTGGAGATATGCTGATTACTTTCATTTAAATTTAATTCAACATTGTATTCTACTTATGTTAATCATTTGGCTTTTCTGATGATACTTTGAAAGTGGATCTAGGTGACGGATATGAGAAAATTTTAGTAGTTAGTAAGTGCTTTTAAGAAAGAACATACTTTGGATGTGTATTATTTAACAAAATCTAATTTGTTCTTATTGTTTTACAGAAAACAAATTATTTAATAAAATCTTTTAGTAGCAGAAAAAAATTTATTATTTTTATGAGTGAACTTATGATTCTGATTTTTAATATGTACTCTTTAGTTTCTGGTAGAGTAGTCCTTTATTATCATCTGTTCCTGTAAGTGATGTTACACTTCAGTGTCCTTCCAGAAATTTGGAAAACAAAGCCATCTTTGCCCAGAGCAATTCCTCTGCCATAAACAGATTAATTTTACTAATGACTAGTGGTGTTTTTAATAACATAAGCCATATAATTTTCTGGTCAACTGTATAACTATTCAAAAACTTCAGTTCCCAAATACTTACATTTTCACAAAAATTACTGCAATAAAGTATGAAGCAAAAACAATAAAGACATGGAAAAATATGAGACTCTCTAATGGGCAGCAAAGAAGATGAACCTTTGCAAAGGAAAAATAAAAACTAACTGAATGGTACAATGGGGAAAACTATACATCTTTGGGATCTCGTTAAAAAATTACCAAAAAATTATGAAGTTTTACTGTGTTTTGTCAAAGCATTATTAAGTAGAAATCAGTGTTATAACATTTCCTACTTAAGGTTTTGAATGTCAAGGGAATTTTTTGCAGATTTCTAAGCTGAATTAATATAATTATTTTTCAGAGATATTGAAAATTGAATTGACTTTGTATTTAATATTGAGAGCTTAAAACAGAGATAATTCTAAGGTCTATGAAAGATACTCTGCATTAAAAATGTACAAGTATCAATATAATCTATTTGGATGCAGTAGAATTTAGGCTTAGTTCTGCAAAGCAGCATACACTAAAGCAAACAAACAAGTGATATCTATTTTACTGGAAGAGGAGTCCTTCCAATTTTACTTCAAGAACATTGTCATAGAAAGAACTTTTAAGAAGTATTATTTCTTAAATAGAGATGAATAATAAAGCTGACAGAAGCAATTGAAATTAAAAACTGCATTTTAACCAATAAAGAGTGGAATTATTCATATATCCAAGTAACTTAAATAATTACAGGGAACTCTGCCATATACAAAAGTGAAAGCATTTTGAAACAAAACTTTAGTAAAGCAATAGGAGTTTAAATTCATATTTTAAATTTCAAATAAGGAAAAAAATTGAAAGAATAACAAATTGTGAAAAGGAAGATAGAAGTATTTCTCTTAGTTTCTCTAGGGTGATAGGGTGAGAATCTGAGAGTGTAAATAAGGACTAAAAGGATTAATAACTAATAATTGGTAATTTGAAATAGGAAAAGGCCCAAAGGGGTAGGGGTGGTTGGAGGGGAAGGGGAAAGGAAAGAATGGAAAGGAAAAATTATGAGAAAAGAAAAAAAAAAATGGAAACCAAGTATGTAAATAGGGAAGGGTTTAGGGATGAAGGGCACACAGGTAATGGGAAAAAAATAAGAACCAAGACACATCAGGTACAGGTACAAGCATCCCAAAATAAATCTAAATGTATTGTATACCTAAAATGTACCAATCAAAGAATTTAAGAACAAAAAAGAAAGTATGACAGTTACTGTTTGTATCAAATTCTTTTTAAAAAATAAACACAATATTAAAGATTATGAAAAACAATACAAATACTTTCTACTCAAGATAATACCCAAAACTGAATAATCTCTTGCTCTCAACTCAAAAGAGATGATGTGGGTCTTTATAATAATTTATCCTATACCTAGACTTCTATTATTTTATTGATGAAATAAATTATCTTTAAGAGAAAAACACCTTTTTGATTGGAGCTAGAATGGAAACTTCTGATGACCATACTGGAAGTGTGGTTTCACCCCCTTCTGGAGCTGGCACAGATTTTTCTGGGGAGTGGAAAATGAGGTGATTGCATTGTCACCAGCACAGTTTTCTTCCATTGAGATTTTCTACCCCCTACAATCAAAATGCAATTACAGAAATAAGAACTTGGCAGTGGAAGATAATCAAGTCGGCAATAGGCAGACAGATTGGACACACATATGGATTTATATGACGTTCAGCTTTGGAGACCATTTTAGAAAAAATAGAAAAAAATGTATTATAAGTTGTTCTCAGTATTTATGTGCATTACTTATTTTCTAAATTATTTTAGGGACACCTCTAGACTTTCAACTGAAATATAACATAATTGTATAATATATTTCTCTATGTCTTTTATCCTTTTTTAAGCATCTCCATTTACGTTAGAGTATCTATAATATTTGATTTATTAAGATAAATTTCCTATAAATGTGCCCTCATTGCTCTTTTCTGATACTCAGAGTCTTAATATGGAACTCAGTAGTGCAGATCAGGCAACTTGGAAGTGGCAGCTGATTACAGTTAGGAGTTTACAGCCCTCCCTGGATTGTGTGGCAAAGTGCCCGAGAGGCAAATTTAGTTCCGTTTAAAACCAAGCATATGTTGACTAAATTAGGCAAGACTACTGGAGACTTCATAAAAAGAGGACAGGGAAATTCAATTCTTCACAATATTTCTTTTTTCCTCTCTCACCATGGGCATAAAACTATCAGAAATTAGATTTCAAAGCAAAGAGTGAGTTAAACTATTGGATTACAGACGTCTCAATCAAGCTGAACTACTATATATTGCAAAGAATCAAAATCAATTTTCTGCATTTAAGAAAAAATGTTGAAATAGCCTATTTACACTTCTTCTCAGATCTTATAATTTCTATTTACTTCAGGAACAATAGAACATTTTGCCCCATTCAGCATTTTTTCATCCAACTCATCAGCCTTAAGAATCAATTTATTTCATCTGGATTCATAGGGCATAATCATAATAGCTTTGGCTAAAACACAAAAATGAGCCGTAATTTTTAGAAAGTGATATATGTTTTCTTGCAAATTTTTACAAGAAGGTATCTAAAATAATTTCTATTTAACAAACTTATGCTTTTCAAATTAAATATAGACCAGCTCCTCGGCCAAGACTGACAATTCTAGTAAAAGAAAAAAGTTATCAATAAATTCATATAAAATTAAGTTACTGTCACTGAAAACTAATTTTTACATGATGATTTTAATAAGCTAAGAAAATATAATGAGATAATTTAAAAATAACTAGTAATGACTGACATTCCATATTAAGATATTTGATTATGGAACTAAAGTTGTTAACTTTTAAAAATAAATATATGCCAAAATATGTATTTTAGATAAGAATATATGTACATAGACATTTGTATCTGGTTTTAAGCTTTCCTGTTTTCTAAAGAAAAACTAAAATTAGAAGGATAAAACATATATTTTTAGGTACAGGTATTGACTGCCTGTAGAGCATGAAATTTTCTTTGCCCATTTGCCATCTCAGTAATTGAGTTAAAAAATGTGTTATGAAACAAATTGATAATTATATTTACAAAAACCTCCCTAATATCATTATATTTTGAGACACATAATCTATTTTTCTCGCAGTAAAAAAGTTTACAGAAAAACCAACCATGGCTCTCTAAAAATATTTTATTAAGGTAAATTAGATTTGGCTGAAACAACATAGATTTTCCAAGTTTAAAAATATAGAAATAGCTCTATTTATTTTTGTACAATAACAAGAGTAAAGGATTAGATATGTTTTCTTGTTTATTTGGTTACATGGAAGGAAAAGTAGTACAGTTTGCACATGCAGTAAGAATGTTAAAAATATCAGTTAAAAGAGGCATTTTTAAAT